TATATATATATTCGAACGAATATATAATTATTCGTTCAACGCTTTTGACGTGGTTGACTTCTACCGTCAATCTCTGTTGAATGAGGCATTAAACTTCGCATCTAGATACGATGAAATAACCGACGAAGAACGAAAAATTATACTACACGCAAAGAAAACTTGCTTTTACAATTCAGGAGAACCATGGGTAAAGAAAACATCATCAAATCTATTTGACGTCACTATGGGAAGTTACGATGTGGTAGAATCCTGTGTGAACTAGTTGGATCTTTCCTTCTACATCAAATCACGGAAAACTTTCGGCTTGTACAGAGACGATGGCCTCGGAATTATAAGCGCAACACCTCGCAAGATAGAAAACATTAAGAAAAATCAGTGCGCCATCTTCAACAAACACGGCCTAAAAATCACCATCGAAGCTAACAAAAAAATTATAAACTTTCTAGACATAACATACATGAATAGTGGAAAAAACAACAAATCAAATCACCCACCAGGAATTCCTCAGTCTCAGAGAGTATTAACAAACGCCTCTCTCTGAAATTTCATACGATGAAGAGTCATTCAATTAGGCAGCATCACTCTACCAAAAGGCCCTGGACAAAAGTGGATACAAGCATCATCTGAAATTCTCACCCCCTCAACAGACAAACGACATCACCAACCCCAAAAAAATCTCGAACTAGGAACATAATTTAGTATAACGCCCCATTCAGCAAGAATGTCGCTACATAACGTCGGAAAAACGTTCCTTAAAACACTAGATGAGGAATTCCAACCAGCCCATGCATTACACAAACTGTTCAACCGCAATACTATAAAAATAAGATACAGTTGTATGGGTAACCTCAAGCAGAACATAGACGGGCACAACAAATCAACTTTATCAAATAAAACCGAGCAACCTAAGAGCAGAAATTGCAATTCCAGAAAATTAGAAGATTGTCCTATGTCTGGCAATTTGCCTTAATACAAATGCGTCGTCTATCAAGCCACAGTCTCAGTTGACAACAAACCAGGTCAAACGTGGACTCATTGAAAACGCGTTCAAGACCAGGTATAACAACCACACAGTATCATTCAGAAAAACAAACCAAGAAATTTAACACTGGACTGAGTAAATATGTTTGAGAATTAAAGGACAATAATATGGACTATACACTTAAATGGAAAACCCTCAAAACAAGCCAAAGCATACAACCCAGCATCTAAAAGATGCAATTTGTGCCTATGGGAAAATATTTCATCATTTGCAAGTCCCCCAATGTCACCTTAAATAGGCGAAATAGACTCTTCACAGCTTGCAGACACGCCAACAAATTCCTCCTAAAAATCTTTGTATCTTAAACATTTCATAGTGCAATCCACACCATCGTGCAATCCACGATATGTTTATCTTTCGCTATTTAATCTATTGTTAATCACTTAATGATCATAGTCTACCGCTGCCTTTGTATTACCGCTTTTACTCTGCACAAGCTCAGTTTTACAATTAATTAATTAATATGTGTTAACTATCTTTGTCAATCAATCATTTATTAGAACATACTTAGAAAAAAAATAATTACGAAACAAAACAAGGGAATCTTAAGTAAAAATGAAATAAACAAAAGTGAGTGTTGCTGATGAGGCAAGTAGCTCCCCGAAAAACATGACAAGGAAATACAACCTGCCTTGCCTGTCACAAATTTCGAAGGGCCACCTGTACCATTAACAAATAAATCAACAATAATGTTAAGGCAAACAAAATTAATTAGTTACAAAAAAAAATGAAAAGACAGTAATACAGATACTTAATCTACGATAAAGTTTGCAAGTGCTTCAATTCAGATCTTTTTCTCCACGCTCGTTTTCCATACTTTTACAAAATTCATCAAAGTATTTCTCTACTTCATTTGTCATGGAAAGAGCAGTGGAGCCTGGACGTAGCTTAATTTAATATCAATATTAGCACTTAAAAATTGATCCCAAACATCGATGTTATGACTACTTAATTTGTATTCAAGTTTATTTAACTCCTCTAAACGTATGTTTAGGAGAGCGGGACAAGAGAATAAGAAGTGTCTTATGTCTTCTTCATTATTTGTATTGCAAAGAGTACATAGGCCATTCTTGTCTTCAGACCATCTAGAAATTCTACTATTCAAGGGGCAATGTATTGGAGCGAAGTTTAAATTTCAATGATACACCTTCGAAATCCAATTTATCTAATAGATAATTTTCTAATTTAATTGTATCTTTAAGTAATGAATAGTCGGTGAGTGAGGCCTTACTTTCAATGTCCTCTCTCCAGTTTTCATTGTTTATTTCATTTACTTTTTTTAATAATGGATTAACCCAGTAATTGTAGTTGCCCTGATTATTAGATAATTGTACTAGAAGGTCTTCAGATTCACATTTAATAAAGAGATCAGAAATACATTTTACAAATTTGAATCGGAAGTTATTTGGATCACATTGAAACTGATTTTTTGCATTTAGGAGTATTTTTGGCCAACGATACGGTTCCATACTAATTAAACGATTAAAAAATTTTAACTCTTGAAGTGTCATGCATAGTTTTTATCTGTATCCATCCAAGTTCCCAATATAATGTATATCGGGGCGTATTCATAGGGGCTTTTAAGATATATCGTGCCATTTGTAATTGAAGTTTTTCTAATCTTTCAATGTCTGATTTATTTACGCTACACCAAACATCAGATCCATAGTTAATTGAAGGGATGGCAATTGTCCTCCATAATACATCCCCGTAATAAACCCTATTAAAATTATCGAAATTGTCTATAAGAGATTTAATTTTGATGGGATCAGTTTCAATTTCACCAAATTTTACGGTGCCTATTACTTCATTATATAACCTGTCTATCAGTCTCCAAGCTTTACCTCTAATGCCTGACAACCAAACAGATTTTAATAATCCGTCTCTCCAAACACTATCAAAGGCCTTCCGAAAATCTAAAAAGGCAATGTGAGTATATCTTTGTGCTCACATAATAAATTGGCCTTGTTAATATTAGCTCCTGTCTCCTCTAATCCTAGTACTCACATCAAACTGCCCAAATTGTCTGTGCCTGTCTACTTTAATCTTGGTGCTCACATAACCAACTACCCAGCTTCCTCGATGATTAGGCCTAAATTATAATACTTTTTATGGTGGATGGTACATATGGAAAATTAAGGAATCCGAAATGTGTAGCAAATGTGGAGTTCCTGAAGATGAAAACAATTTGATTTTTAGTTGTTCGCATATACAAACATTTTGGAGGAAAGTAAGTACGGTAGTGTCTTAAGGTGTATTACAAATGACGATATATTATTTTAAAAACTTATTCTTGGAACTGGATGTATATTAGAAAATTTAATATGTACATCTACAGCATTTACAATTTATAAAGAGAAAATTTTGTCAGAGTTAAATAAAACAGGTTTTAAATCACCGTGGAGCTCCTTTAAGTGCGATATCTTATTGAAAATTAAAATTGAGATGTATAATGACAAATTGAGAGAATGATGAAAGAAAATGGGGAAAAATACAAAATACTATTGTAATAACATAAGAAAATGTAATAATGAACATTGGTCATATATATATTGGTATATTTTGTAGAAATGACACTAGTAAAACCATTTATTACAAAGTACCAAATATGTGTAACTTTATAGAAAATAAATTCATTCTGGATTCAGTGAATTATTTGTGAATTTTCTTTCCCTTAGTTAATCCAGTGTCAATTTTTTTATAAGTAAATGTTATGTTTACTTACAATCATCAATTATAGGCCTAATTAAAGGCTCTAAGCATAATAAATAAATAAATAAATAAAAAAATAAAATAAAATAAATAATGTATTTTGTATTTGTAGTACAAATGTTTTCTCTTCTAAAAAATACTAAGGTAAATGGTGTAAACTTTAAATTAGGATATAGTAATTGAAAGGAATTATGTACAATGAAAATGAATATATATATGTAGAATATATATATATATATATGTATGTGTATATTATGTATGTGTGTGGGTGGGTGTGTGTGTGTATATATGTGTGCGTGT